TATGATTTTATTATACATCAAATGAATTTTAAAATTGTATTTTTAAATGAAAACTTAGAAGAAGAGATTTATATGAATTAACCTGGGGTTTTTTTTTTATAGAAGGCCTTGATGATAAAATACGTAGACTTAAAAAATCCCTTTATGACCTCAAACAAGCTCATAAATAATGACATGAAAAATTTGATACAATTTTGACATCAAGCGATTATGTGAAGCAGATAAATGCATATATAGTAAATATATAGCAAATTTAAAAATAATTGTGGTGTGATAATTCGCTTGTATGTCGATGATGTGCTGATAATGAGAACTAATTTAGATGATGTTAATAAGACTAAACAATTTTTGAAAAAGCACTTCGAAATGAAAGATTTGGGTGTTGCTGATATTATTTTAAGAATTAAAATAGTAAAATATTTCGTAGGAATTATTTTAATCCAATCATATTATGTAGAAAAAGTGCTTAACATTTTTAATCAGTACAATTTTATTCCTACTAAAACACCTTATGATATAAGCCGTCACTTAATCTTGAGGTATTTGAGATACACTATAGACTAGGAAGTACATTATACCAAATTCCCTATTATACTTGAGCGATTTTGTGATGTTAATTGAATTTTCAACACCAATGAAAGTAAATCTACGAGTGGATATGTTTTTACATTAGCAAGCGATGTTGTATCTTGAAAATTTACTAAGCAAACCTGCATTGCGAGATCTACTATGGAATTTGAGCTCATAACTTTAGAATAAGGCAGGTAAGGAGGCTGAATGGTTAAGGAATTTTCTTATGAATGTTTCTTTGTAGTCTAAACCATTTCTAGCTATTTTTTGTCCATTGTGACAATCAAGCACTTATTTCAAGATCTCAAAATTCATCCTATAATAGAAAGTCTAGATATATTCGTAAGAGGCACAATGCATCAGCTGCTTAAGGATGGGGTTATAGCTATTGACCATGTGAAATCAAGTGATAATATTGCTGACTCATTAACCAAATGATTAGTTAGAAAGCTAATTAAGAAAACATCTAGGGGATAGAACTAAAGCCTATTACAAACTAGATCACCTATAGCGGAAATCCAACCTTACAATTGAAGATCCCACGGTCAAGGTTCAATGGAAAAACTAAGTTATTGGAGTGGTCTGTGGTGGTACTACGTTAGATTTATTCCAAACCCTTCCCTATGATGCTAGTACCAACTGTATCGATTAGAAGATGAGCTAATGTTCTTAATGCTTACTATAGTTAATATTTAGTGGGGTGTTTAGATATAGTGCGCCCTTGATAGAAGCAATTATTTGAGCATGGAAGTGGGGCCGCTTTCCATGAGAATTGAAGCTAATTTTCTAGAGCACTCAAAGAAATTGGAAAAGTTCATGGCGAAATGAACATAACCGCGAGCACTCAATGATTATTTTATAAGTCATGTGCGTGTTCTGTTTGTTGCTATACTTGTAGAGTTCAATACAAGTTCACTCTACAGTTAACAAGCTCGATAGAATACACAAAGCTAAGGTTCAAATCGATAGACGCCTAAGCCTGGGTGATTTTTACCGTACTCCAAAGGAATATTTATATTTATCTTATTTCTTTCATGTGGGGGATTGTTGGATAATTTATACAATAATTATAATGTGTGAAAGAAATAACTCATTTAGATGAAGTGTCCAACTAGTGGAAAGTATAGAATTTGTGTGGGAAGTTGAGGGTTCGGGTCAAATCCCACGCAATAATAATAAAAAAAAAAAAATTGATTGGGGCCTTTTGACTTTTGGGCTTCATTGATTAAAATAATCATTTTCAGAATTATTTAATGGATCAAACTAGTCGGTATAAGATGACTATTTTTCAACAACTCACTATATAGAACCCATTATCCACATCCCATTTAAAACTACAAATCTTTATGGATCATGGTAGATGCAGTTATATAAACACTTAATTTTTCATGGAACTTCTCCCTATCAAACAGGGCCTAATTGAAACTCTACACTTTAAAACACTTTATACCCATGTAGGTTAGACTGGATATACTTAAGTGCACACCCCATTGCATATACAAGTTTTGATTAACTATTGTATCAAGCGTTGAGCATATGAATGAATAAAATTACTTCTAAGTTTAGATGAGGACTCATGACAATGCTCCAATACTTGCACATGCATATTTTCATAATTTGGGAGACTTTTGAAAAGTTATTGAGAATTTTTGGAGACATCTGCTGAAAGGCCTTGAGGACCAATCTAGGATGCGAAATTTTACGAAATACCAGTCAAGCTTTAGTGGTATGATATTTGTGGATTTCTATTTGAAAATAATGTGTCTTCTATCAATGATCATTCATAATTATCATAGTATATTATAACCAAAAATTAGAGTTTTGTCATGCACGTGAATTGATTCGAATATTCTAATTACATAGGAATTCTGTATCTTTTTAAACAAAGGTTAAAAGATTAACCCTCAATAATGTGCCAAATTAATATTTTAGAAAAGGTCAATTGTAACTACAGTGAGTAATAGTAATTTATTATTATACAATTTAGGCCCATGTTTGAGCCACATTTTAGGAAAAAATGCATTATTCATGTCAAATCAATGAGAAATGTGTAGTTAAAAAATAAGAAAAAATTTTAGATTTGCGTGTAATATTATTTTATTGAAAAATGTATGGTTGAAATGATGTCAAATCACTGTTGAAAAATATATTTTTTGAAAATATTGTGGCTCAAACAAGCCCATGTGACTCATATTTTGATGTTAAAATAATATAATAATAATACTACCATGTAGAATGATTAATTTTGATCTATGTTTTGAAAGCTTCAATTCTTATAATTATAATAACTTATTAGGCATTTAATTATTTTAAGTTTTACATGAGCCCTCATGTATTAAGTTATTAAAATGAATGGCTAGTAAATGTTAAAATTGGATTTTCTACATTTGTTAGAATTTCATGTGACTTTATTTAATTGAAACAATATTTCTTCTGCGGAATATTTGAAGTAGTGTATTTGAAAATTAATTTATGTTCAAAATTGCAAATATTTTGTATCTAAAACCTATTTTATGACTATGAAGACATGTTTACTTATAACATCGTTGTCAAACCATATTTGATACTTTATGGTTATGTTAATTTTTATTTTCTAGTGTTTTGTAATACATGAGTATTATTGTATTCAATTATGCTGTCCAAGTTAATGAATTGTAAATACTTATATTTTGACTAAAATAATCGCTAGGTAAGTAAAAGTGTTGTCAAATAGATTAAGTGGAAATCTGTTTAATTATATCATATTGATTATGTAGGATATTGATTGTCATATATACTGAATTTCACATTATGAATTAGATGCCATCCTTTTTTTTTTCTCCTTTCTATAGTGACCGATATCCTTTCCTATATGCACAAAGAAGTTAAGAAAATAATAATAATAATAATAATAATAATAATAATAATAATAATAATAATAATAATAATATAGTTCATTTTTAGAATATAGTGAGGAAGTTCCAAGAGTTGGATATCTTTGGAATGTGGGGGGTGTTTACATTTCATATTGATGCACCTTCTATATTTTATTATTCTTAACCGGAAAAACTCACTTTTGAAAAGTGTTAAAAATGAAATTTGTATATTTTTAGGTGAATATAGGAGTTGAACGGATGAATTTGTTTGAACGTGTTACTAGAAATCAATTTCTAAATTTCATTTGTTTATCTTATTATAATTAAATATGTAACATTAATATTTGGAAAGTTCTTAGATGACATGCTGATGTACAAGCAGAGACTAAGAGCTATGGAAATTGATGTTATGAATTTATAGTCAAGGAGGGATATGAAATAAATTATAATCCGTAATGGAAATAATAAATCGTCTAGGAGAATGGGCTTAAGCCCATAGGGGGTTACCTCTAGAAGTAACCCAACTTTTGTGGTTGGAGATCCCACGAAGAAGGTTCAATGTGGTGGAAAAAATCCGTTTTGTGGGACCTGTAATAGTACTACTTATATTTTGTTCATTCCTATGGTAATAGTGCTAATAATAATGTGATGTTATGAAAGGTTTAACCCCGAATGAGGTGTGGGTCACATGCACTCTTAGAGGACTCATCTATGTAAGAATTTCATGAGGCCGTGACTATGAAATTGAGTTATTCTCTAGAAACTCTTATTAAAATCAAGATTGAAGCAAATTGCCATTAAGAGCGCTATCTGCTATGAACTAGAGCCTAAATTTATATTGTGTGTGAAATAATTGAAATTTGGCCAAATGGACCTAATTTAAGGCTTAGCCCATTATGGCTCCTTCAAATAAAAATTGTTATCACTAAATAAAATTCAAGTCCAAATGACATCTACACTCATTAAACATCATAACGTTGCCACTATTATATATATTTATCTATTTTAAAGTTTAAAACTTGCAGAGGATTGTTGTATACAACAAAAATAAGTTACAACCTTTCAAAATTGAACTTATTAATTTTTAGTTTTGCTGTTTAATCTTTAGGTCTGATTATAAAATTTAAAGCTCATAATATTAGATGAACTGTGGGGTTGGAATCTGCCCCCATAAAAGGGAGTTGTTTTCATTGTGTAAAACATAACTTGGAAGAAAAACATTTTATACAATTTATATTATATTCTTATATTTTGACAACTCAATAAAGATTCATTTACTTATCTCCTTATGGTTGTACCTATAGAAGAAGAACCAATTGTGAGTCACCTGAATTCTATCTTGAAGTCGTGTATTGTCGAAAATATCCACATGAAGGGAGACAATACGACTTTAGAACAGTGTCATTGACGTAACTCCCTAAGACTTGCTTTTTATTTTATTTTTTTATTTTATTCCTTTTTTAACCCTTTTCATATGTTTTTGTTATTGCTGAATTATATTACATATGCTTATGTGTAAAATTATTATGTTAATCCATAATTTATCTACACACGAATCGCTCATTTTTCCCAACAATGTCATGTCATAGAGAAATTGTTGCATTTGTTGGGTATCCTAATGTGGGGAAGAGTTCAACAATTAATGCTTTGGTTGGAGAAAATGGACTGGTGTTACCTCAAATCCGGGGAAGACAAAGTACTTCCAATGGAATGA